GGAATGTGCCACTCTATGATGTAATAGTGTGGATAAGCACCGCCTCCGCAGAAGAAGATCAACGCCTGCTTCTACATAACTGCCTGTTTAGTCCCACCCACCGATTCGCACATGTAGTGTAAATAATGAGAGAGGCAAATGCGGGTCTATGCAGAAATCAAACGCTAATGATTGCTCCGAAGACAAGCTGTGCAGTGCCAAGTTGTGGAAACACAGTTTTTGTTTTGCCCTCCTTCTGATACCAACATTAGGAAAGAGTAGATTAACTTTATTTTTAATGAAGTTCCAGACCACATCATTAAGAACTTGTTGATCCTTTGTTCACTTCATTTTACTTTGCTGCCGTACCATGGATGCAGCAGGCGCAATGATATTATGCAGCGCCTGAAAATAGGCTAACTTCCGTCAACATAACCAACGTGACCACCTGCTTACAGGGAGCGTGCCTTCCGTTGGAAGTTACCTAGCTGGGGACTATTTTCAGGCACTGCGTAATATCATTGCGCCTGCTGCACCCATGGTACAGCAGCAAAGTTCCTTGATTATTATGCCGGAATGAGAGTATAGTTCCTAGTCATATCGGCCTAGAAAATGGCAACTTTTCATTTTATCTATCTTAGTATCTTAGTACACGATGTAACTACAGAAGAGCCAAGTTTTAAATAGGAAAAATATAGAAACTCTTTGGTCATTTTTGAGCGAGATGCTAACGGTCTAATCAGATTCAATGATCTATGCTAAGCTACAGCTAAAAGTGCTACCACCTGACCCGGAGATCGGCTGAATGGATTCGAAAACGGTGAAACTCAACTGTTTAACTCTAGGGGAGTTGGAAAATGAGCCTATTTTCAAAAATAGTGGAGTGTTCCTTTAAGTTGAGTCAGTAAGCACCTACCTAGCTAATATTTAATAATAACATGTAGCTTAATTTTAGCATTTGCATATCTATATACTTCGTTTAAAAAAAAAAATACTGGTATCAGTATCACATCCTGTTTACAAACATTGTTTTGCTGCACCCAGATCACACGCTGTGCAACCTTCCCATGCGAGATCAGCGCCCCAGTGGAGTGTCTGTGGACAGATTGGGTGACGGAGAAGATCATTCACGGGCGCCAGTCTGACCACTATGCCTGCATCAAGAGAGGAGACGGCTCCTGCGCCTGGTACCGTGGAGTTGCGCCACCCAAGAAAGAGTTTCTGGATGTGGAAGACCCTTAAAGTATCTCTCTCCCTCTCCACATCACCCAATCTTAGATTCTTACAAATATCATAGATAAGGTGTAATTTAATATCGACATAAAGACAAAATTCTACCCAATTGAAATTGAAACGTCTCAAGGCTAGATTAGTGTACAGTCTTCATTAGATATCGCAACATGAGACAGAATGAAGCAAAAGTAAGGACCCCACCTAAGGCTGGCACCCAGAAAACACTCCCCATCGTGTGAGGAACAATTTTTAAAACGAGAGCACTTTCTGCCCCCCAAAACAGCGCTTAGATTTCTCTCTGCATAAAAGACTGAATGATCTCTGCAATCTCCTAAAAATGCAGTCTCTCAGCTCATTTCGCATTTTCAATTTCTGGTATTCTGGTCCAAACCCACACGGGGTGGTAGTGAAAGTATTACTTTTGAAGGTAGTGTAATTTCCCAAAGCCATGCCAATTGGTCCACTCAGATAAATGGTGAGGCAGGACTTCCCAGATAGTTCAAAGATGTGCAGGGACCTGGAAAGAACTTAAGACAGCTGGGGTTTGGGGGGGAAAAAAAAGAAAATTAAAGACCAAAGTCAATGTCGCTAGACATGAATTTGTGACAGAAAATTGTGCTGCTGACCAAATTTCAGAATGTTGAACTGTTGTATATGAAGCTGTTCTTTATTTCACTTCCACTGTTTTTCATCAATGCTTCATGGCGTATCCTTAGCATATACAAAAAATACAGGAAAAGCAATGTAAACATCTATTATCCTGACAATAGTTTTTGTGTTCACAATTAGTTAGCAATATACAATAAATTCCTCTCTAATTTGATTTTTTTATGCACATTTATGAATCGAACATCCCTAATTTGTTTTGTCAATATGTCTACCTTTCTGAACCTTGTCTCAAACACCCACGATGAGTCCAATTTATGCATTTATTCCTCCGTTAATAGTTCAGTGATGATACTATTTGAACTTGTTGCACTTTTTAAAGACAAAACCAAGAGGACTGTTCTCCTCTTTTTTGTAATTCTCATTTTCAATGCTTTTGTTATTGATTTGCAAATGCTTCATCTTTAAGAATTACAGCATCAGTTATCTAAGGTCCTAGTGAGCTGTTTTATCTTCCGTATTGTTCTAATTAGATTATGTACCCGAAGAGGTACGTAAGACTTTAGTTGCTTCGTTTTGCCCTAGAGTAAAACAAGGCTGATTGGATTGGCATGCAAAGGCACAGGCCTATAGCATGCACTGAGAAAGAGGAAACAAAGAGCGAGGTTCCTTCCTCCTGTGGTCAATAAACTTGGGAGTTTATTGGCAGCTTGAGAGGAAGGCACAGAGTTGGGTTGTTGCAACTGTCCCCTGATTGGGCGTTGCCAAGTCACGTGATTGATTGAGCGTTAGAATACTAGTTGCTAGGCGCTTCGTCAGGGTAAACCATGTGGCCCAATGTGGTCATAGTGATTGAGAGAAAGAGAGAGAGGGAGAAGACAGACCGCTGTTGAACTGACGAAAGCAACAAAAGTGTTGATCGATTTGGATGATATAATGCATCACAATCATTGTATAAATTCAGCACCGAGATCATTTGTATTGACAAAGGGAGCATTCTTATGAGTAATTGTTCAATTCATGCCTTTCTGTTTTGGCTATCAGTGTTCCAGCATAAATGTATGAAGCTTTTTTTTTTGCCTAAGTGTGATTTAAATTAAGATTTTCGTTTCAATATCCTCACTTCTTTCTTCATATCAGAAGCATTGTCATAAACAAGCTTGAACTCTTACGAATAGTCTATATAAATCTACAATTTTAATGTTTAATATGCATCGAGCTATAACTACTTAAACTGCTTTGTATGAATTATTGAATTTTAATGGCGTAAGTTAAATGATTTTGTTTCCACGTTTCTACTTTTTTTAAAATGTTATTACCTTTGATTTATATGATCATTGTCTTTGTCTTTCTCTTTTATGATTTGCTGAAAAGAGCAGGAATGTGAGACCTAGTGTCTGAACCACATGATAAAAGTTGTGGTAGAAGAACCAGACTATGCATGTCTTTGATGCTTTGTTTAATTCCCATGTGGACGTTCACTTGATGGATAAATATACAGTATTACCAAATAAAACATTAAACTACATCAGCTTGTCCCATTATGATTTTTAAATCTATGAAAAAAACATATTTTTATATTTCTGTAATATAAAAATATTACGCATATTCATATTATACATATTGTAACATATGTGACCCTGGACCACAAAACCAGTCATCAGGGTAAATTTTTCGAAATTGAGAAACATGCATCACCTGAAAGCTGAATCAAAAATTAAGTTTTAATATATTTACAGTAGGAAATTTACAAAATATCTTCATGGAACATGATATTTACTTAATAGCCTAATGATTTTTGGCATAAAAGAAAAATTAATTATTTTGACCCATACAATATATTTTTGGCTATTGCTACAAATATACCCCAGCGACTTAAGACTGGTTTTGTGGTCCAGGGTCACATATATATATAAAATTTAACTGAATTGAATCCAATACATATATCCTGTGTATATTTAAGCATATTTTATGTCCGAAAAAAGTGTCTTCTGGTGGCTTTATAGTATATTTTAGCCCATTAGTGTGACTATTTGACAGGAGTGCTGCATATTTACCCTACAAAACTTTAATGATTAGATACTGCCCTCAAGTGGCAGGAATGAATATTGAGCGCGCAGTTGTACATAAAATAAACACAAGCTCCACTTTGGTTCAACTCTCATGAGTTATCACAGACCGAGGGTTTATTTCGACAGCTGTTTCTTTATTTCATCATCTCATAATGATGAAAAGAAGTACATAGCTCAGACAGTTCACAGTGAGGGCAAGCCATGGACCCAATGAGTGCCATGAATGTTTGTTTGTTTTTTTTATTTAAGACACTCTAACCATGACATCAAAGACTGTACTTTCCCCCGCTTTATGCTTGTAACTGGTATTTAAAACGTAAACATTTATGATCTGACTGTATATTCCTGAACGTCTGACAGTTTAAGAAAAACCTGATAAAATGATTTCACTGATGGCTTTAGAGGCTATTAAAGCATTAAACCTTTAAAATAAACTGTTCCTGAGAGATAGATGTGGTAAATGACGGCGTATGGCATCAGAGGGAAACACTTCTCAGACTTTTCAATCTGTTCTCGATTATTCAGGGTAGAGCATACAACAGGATCAAATGACAAGGCAACTGGATCAGGTTTATCCAATGTCTATAAATGTCTCAAAATTTATTTTTACAGAGAATTTTGATTCACAAATCAAACTGATTCTTTGCAGCAGTCAGGGCCAAATGTAAAAAAAAAACTATCAATAAATTATGCTTTAGTGCATAAAAACCTTTTTTCTAGGATATGAAACAAAACCTCTAATCAAAGTTCCTTTTTAGAGTGAATGCGTGCACTCCGATGACGCGTGCATCCAGTCTTTGATTGGCCTGCACTCACAGGCCTTTGTTGAAGTACACGTAACTAACACGGTCCCCGTACTGAGAAATGATTGACTCCCTGAGCTCAGGTTCCAGCTTGGATACAGCCATAGAACTGCAATCAAAGTGCAAATGATTGATTAGTCTGGTGTGGCTCAGAGACCAGTTATCGTGAAAACATCTGAATGAAGCATTTTAGAGAGAGATAATGGATGAAGCAGCTGCAAAACGTTGCACAATGTCTTAATGAAACTGTGATTGATATGTACTGTGATAATAAAGCTTAATGTCATAATGAAACTGTGATTATGATATGGAGAAATTTAGCACTGCATCACTTGCTCACCAATGGATCCTCTGCAGTGAATGGGTGCCGTCAGATAGAGAGTTCAAACAGCTGATAAAAACAACACAATAGTCCACAACAGACTTTAGTCCATCAGTTAATGTCTTGTGAAGTGACATTTCGAAATTAAAAACATCTGTTTTTGATGTATTTGTTTTTACAAACATGCAGCTTTTCAATTCACAAGAAATTAATTGATGAACTGGAGTCGTGTGGATTATTGTGGTGTTTTTATCAGCTTTTTGGACTCTCATTCTGACAGCACCATTCACTGCAGAGGATCAATTGGTGAGCAAGTGATGTAATGCTAAATTTCGATGAAGAAACCAACTTGAATATCCTATGGGTGAGTACATTTTTTTTTTTTTTGAGTGAACGATTCCTTTGAAGAGATACTATCTCTTCAAAAAAAGATGTATGTCATGTACAGTATATGCAAACTTTACCAACTCTGAGGAAACAGTGAACATGCTGCAGGCACCATGAAGATCAGACTGTGAAACAGAGAAAGGCATGTTGTCATTTCTTCTACTGAAACAAGATCTCATATATTTAGCATATCAATTGTTGCTATTTTCATAAAAAGAAATGTGATCACTTACAATACGCCAACCATCATGACTTGCAGTGGCCCATGAAGAAATGTGATTTTCTGCAATAGAAACAAACAAATGCAAATATGTTTTATATAAAATCATACCTGTACAGCAAAGGGTTTATAGACTTTACAGACCCAGGAATCCCAATATAATATAAGCAACAATAAAAAAATAAGATTACCTTTGTAAGACTTATAATAATTGCAACTGAAAACATTATTATGCTACATAATGCATTAAACCATTAGCTAATGTTCATTCAAATAGTTAAAAGTGTTAAAACCATTTAAAACCTGTATGCATTGATGATAACTGACTGTTATATGAGAACGACTCAACAGACATCGGTTTTGAGGTCTGAGAGAGTGAATTTATAACCTGCAGATCATAAACTGGCTATTTTATCGCTTCTCCGTTCCATTGCGTGCTTCTTGGATACAAAACAACATGAGGCTCACCTGCATGAACCTGTATTTTTCCAGCCTCTGCATAATAATGGGGAGAATGACTGGAAAGAACAAAGAAAGCGGCTTAGGATTCATTTATTTTAGCACTGAGATCTGATAACACCGGCCAAACTCTGCACTTACTCATGCCTGGCGCTGCCATGGTAACTCGAGAGATGACCACCTGTGTGATGCCCTTGACAGCTGCTTTCTGACAAACACAGACAGTATACACTATTTATTCAGTAACTTAAGAACAGAGAAATGCTTTTAATGTAAAAAGGCATCTTATCATTAAACTGATTATTGTAAGCACTAAATACATTCAGATCTATTTAAACTAATGTTTCTGCTCATAAGTTTACATACTCAGGTATGTAAGGAATGTAAATTACAATAAATTGTTATAACAATAATAGATACGATATAAGATACATAAGGACGTGATGTAAAAATTAACGGTATGTAAGCGTTTAACCAGGCATTTGTGTAATTTCTGTTATTCATTTGTCTTGTGTAATATAAGCAGTTTCTTCAGGGCAGTACTAAATAAAGAATAAAATGTTTTATGATATCATTTTCTAAAACTAATACACATCTTGTAACTAGTTTCATCAGGTGAGGTTATTTCGACCTAATACAACCAATAAATATCCCTCACCCTTGAGTGGCCCAGTTTATTTCCATCTTCATCTGTCACAGCAATGCCGTTCAAAATCTCCCTGTACAGGAAAGAATAAACCTGAATATACTAATATCTAGACACGTGAACCTAGTGAGTAAGACCCACCAAAATAAAAGATGGTAGGAAACAGAAGATGTCTCACTGTTGTCTCATCATTGGAATGTTCACACAGTTAGCCGCGGCCACAGCAGCGAACGGCACCCAGCGTGCCACCAGTGGAGGAGCTTTCTGAGGAGATAACGGTTAAAGATGCTAAATAAGACCTGGATAATGTATAACCACTGCAGACACGCCTGTCAAACTGAACAAAGGAAGAAAAGCTTGAATTATTTTAACTTTAATTTGAATTCTGCATACAAATCTACTGTATTAATAATATATGCATAAAAGTAAATATATCATTTATTTTTAAGTAAATATATTTATGTATTATTAGAATATTTGTGGCTGTACTTTGAAAACAGTAAAGCATTTTTAAATTTATCGTGAAATACCACTGTAAGTACATTACTGTACATGATTTTTACACACTGACTTATATTAAAATTTTCAGTTTGTACATTTTCTATTGTAATCAGCTGCATATCACAGATCCTGTCTGTAGAAATAGAGTATTCCCTTAATTATTATGAGGCTAATACCTTTGTGTAGAGGTTCAGCCCAACCGCAGTGGCCAGCGCTGTGCTTGTTGCTGTCACATAAGCTACTCCAATCTGCCTGAGCAAAGAAGTCACACACAACACAACAAAAAAAACATATCTGCTACTGAAGCTTATCTGTTATTTGAAGCTCCTTCCCAGACATCTGTTAATAAATACTAGGTATCACGGGACTGTCACAATTTAAGAGGTATACACTCGGCAAACCTACCATTTCTTGCAAGTGAGTAAAGTTCAAAGACAGAAAGGAGTCATAGGAACTTACTTTGGTGTGATGGGGGAGGCAGCATTGCGATTGGTGTAGTTGACCAGAGCGTTGAAAGACTGGTTAACCCACTGCCAGAACACTACAGCAGGAACTGTCCT